TCCTGGTGTGAGTCGTTCGGGCTCTTCGTGGTGTGAGTCGTTCGGGCTCTTCGTCCTGGTGTGAGTCGTTCGGGCTTCTCGTGGTGTGAGTTGTTCGGGCCCCTCGTCCTGGTGTGAGTCGTTCGGGCCCCTCCTCCTGGTGTGACTCGTTCGGGCTCCTCGTGGTGTGAGTCGTTCGGGGCCCTCGTCGTGGTGTGAGTCGTTCGGGCTCCTCGTGGTGGCTTGTATGAGCGCTGCCCCTCCTCCTGGTGTGACTCGTTCGGGCTCCTCGTGGTGTGAGTCGTTCGAGGCCCGCGTCGTGGTGTGAGTCGTTCGGGCTCCTCGTGGTGTGAGTCGTTCGGGCGCCTCGTCCTGGTGTAAGTCGTTCGGGAACCTCCTTGTGGTGTGAGTCGTTCGGGCTCTTCGTGGTGTGAGTCGTTCGGGCCCCTCGCCCTGGTGTGAGTCGTTCGGGCTCCTCGTGGGGCCTCTTGGGGGCCTCTTGGAGCCTCTTGGGGCCTCTTGGGGGCCTCTTGGGGGCCTTTTGGGGGCCTCTTGGGGGCCTCTTGGGGCCTCTTGGGGCCTCTTGGGGGCCTCTTGGGGGCCTCGTGGGGGCCTCTGGGGTGCCTCTTGGAGGCCTCTTGGGAGCCTCCTGGGGGCCTCTTGGGGCCATCTTGGGGCCTCTTGCGACCTCCTCAGAAGCGCAAAGAAGAGCTGCCCCCTGAGAAAGACAAAATGAGGCCAAAACCTTCGTAAAATCAATGATTATGCTGTGAAGGACGATGAGCGCTGCCCCCTCAGAAGTCCAAAATGGGGCCAAAACCTTAGTAAAATCAATGTGTTTGGCTTCACAGAAGAGGAGAGGGACTTATCTCCGCCCCCCCGTCGGGGCCAGAATCCTCGTGAGGGTCGTCGTTTTTTAGCCCTCCCAGGAGTCGAAATTGACCCCCCTGACGACCCGCGGGACCCCCTCTCCAGGCCCAGGGGGAGGGGGTAGGGGGAGGGGTAAACCCCTCCCCGAAGGGGAAGAAGGGGGGTTGAGGACAGAGAGAGCTCGCTAAACCACTCACGCCCAAAGGGCTGGTGGGATAACTAATAGTAGTAGTGTGAATAGTAGCGTTATTAATATTATCTTAAGCGTTGCATTATAAGCGTTAGTATTAGCATTATTCTTTTTTCTCATTGCTAATAACAATATGGTTGTTTTTGGCATCGCTCTCTTGTGATTCCTCTTTGTCCTTTTGTCATGAGGGGATGGGAGGACAGAAAGCGGAGAGGAGGGAGGAGAAGGCACGGCAGAGGCAGGATGGCGGGAGGCAGTGGGCGGAGATGTGGGAAGGAGGTACAGGGGCATAGACCAGGAAAGGAGGCAGGAGAGATAGAAGGGAGGAGGAAGAATTGTAGGAGGAGGAGGAGGAGGAGGATGGGAGGAGAGGAGGAGAAGCGAGAAGAGAGAAGAGGAGAGGAGAGGAGAGGAGAGGACAGGAGAGGAGAGGAGAGGAGAGGAGAGGAGAGGAGAGGATAGGAGAGAGGAGAGGAGAGGACAGGAGAGGAAAGGAGAGGAGAGGAAAGGAGAGGATGGGAGAGGAGAGAGGAGAGAGGATAGATTATTTGTTCTATTCGGGGGGGGGGTGAGGCCAACCCAGACTACCAGGGGGGGCTGCTGTGTGGTCGCGAACCGAAGCCTCACCAGTGGGCGTAGAGTGACGAGGTATTCACACCCACCGCGAGGCGCCACCATCTCTGGGCTCGGGGCTCCCCGGAGGTCGGCCACAGGCCGAGAGCAGTGGAATGCCGGCAGCCGTGGGCCGGAGAAGCAAATCGGCCTGTGCAGAAACAGTCGGAGCGCCGCGCCGATGTCCGCGCAGATCTCTTGGATCGGCGCTGGCGCCGGAGGCGCCGCCAGGGGGCCCAACGAGGGCGCCCTGCGGTGGGCTTGTATGCACCTCGTCGCCCTACGCCCACGGCCCCCAGCATCCCCCTGCTCTCTCAGCACGTGGCTGGCCTCCGGGGAGCCCCGAGCCCAGAAACGATGGCGCCTTGCGGTGGACACCGCTCCTGGTCCAGCGTGCGGCGGATGTCCGGCGGCGGCGGATGTGCACAGATCTCGTCACCTTGCAGGGAGGGGGCAGGCCCAGGGTGGGTCTGTCCAGCAGCAGCGGATGTGTGGAAGTGTCGTTGCCTTGGTGGTGGTGGGGCGGTGGGTCCAGGATGGGTTTGTCCAGCGGCGGCGGATATGTATAGATCTTGTCGCCCTAGTGTGGGGGGGGGGGGGGCCAGAAAGGGTCTGTTCAGCCGCCGCGGATGCGCAATGATCTCGTCGCCCGATATCTGAGGGGGAGGGAGGAGGAGGACCAGGAGGAGGAGGAGGAGGCGGAGGCGGAGGGGAGGAGGGAAGGAGGCGGAGGAGGAGGAGAAGGAGGAAGGAGGGAGGGAAGCAGGGAGGGAGGGAGGAGGAGGAGACGGAGGAGAAAGGGAGGGAGGGAGGGAGGAGGAGGACGAGGGCGACGAGGAGGAGAATGAGGGAGGAGGAGGAGGAGGAGGAGGAGGAGGAGGAGGAGGAGGAGGAGGAGGAGGAGGAGGAGGAGGACAACGACGAGGAGGAGGGGGAGGCTCGTCGCCCTGTGGTGTGGGTAGCGGGCCCAGGCCGAGCGGCGGCGCCGCGAGGAGGCTGGCCCCGGGGCGGCGGCCGAGGACGCTGCGGCGGCCGAGAGCGCGGCGGAGTGCGGCTGGCTGAGCCTGGAGGCGCCGGCAGAGCCGGCAGCGGGGGGGGGCTCTCAGGGGGGTTCCACAGGGGGGCGCACAGGGGCTCTCAGGGGGGCTCTCTACAACTGAGCCGTGTGAATACTACTCTCCTCTCTCCCCTGGTGGCGTCCGGGGATTGTTCGGCCCCCCTCCGCGTAGCGGTTTTTGCCACAGAATTCCCGGGAGTTGGGTTCTCGCTTGGGTTTTTCTTCGAAATGCTGCTCTCGCTGAAGCGCCGGCCTCAGTTTCGGGCTACCGCTCGTTCCGAGTCGTGCTCCCGCTGCAGCGCTGGCCTCATTTCCGCGCTTCCGCTCGTTCCGAATCGTGCTCCCGCTGCAGCGTTGGCGTCATTATTTCCAGCGCCTTGCCACGGCATGATTCTCGGTCCTTCCAAATGGCCCCAAATTTCGCAAATGCCCCCCCGAAAAAAAGCATCGGAAGTGATTAAACATGCGGTGCCGATTCTTTGATTCCTGGGGCAGCAGAAGCCCCCCCACTTTGGGGGCGTCGCCACGCCATGCTATGTCAGGCTACGCGTCCTCATTTCCGCGATTTGTTTTTCAACATGCTGCTCTCGCTCAAGAGCTGGCCTCATTTCGGGTTACCGGTCGTTCCGAATAATGTTCCCGCTGCAGCGCTGGCCTCATTTCCGCGCTTCCGCTCGTTCCGAGTCGTGCTCCCGCTGCAGCGTTGGCGTCATTATTTCCAGCGCCTTGCCACGGCATGCTTCTCGGTCCAGGTAGACCCCAAAATTTACAAAATGGCCTCCCGATGAAATCATCGGAAGTGAGTACACATTCTGTGTCGATTTGTTGATTCTGGGGGCCGCGGAAGCCCCCCCCCACTTTGGGGCGTCGCCACGCAATGCTATGTCATGCTACGCGTTACTCTTCAGCACCATGCTATGCCATGTAATGCTATGCCATGCTACGACATCCGATTTGTGCGAATACAGAGGAGACGTACGCCATGGTACGGGATGGGAGGGAGGGGTAGGACGTCAGGTATGACGCGAGCGCACCTAGCTTGTCCTCCTCCCCCTCCCCCTCCTCCTCCTCCTCCTCCTCCTCCTCCTCCTCCGCCTCCTCCTCCTCCTCCTCCTCCTCCTCCTCAATGACTCCTCCCTGTCGCACCCCGAGACGTGTCGGTAGGGCGGGCCAGGCGCTTCGCTTGACGTTCTTACCACGTATGATCTTGGAGCTAATCTTCACGGATGGAAGGAGGGCGGGCCGTTTTCAAAATGTGGTTCTCGCTTTAGCGCCGGGCACATTTGGTCTAAAAGTTTGCAAGAGCTTCACGTTTGGAGGGCGGGTGGTTTTCAAAGTGTGGGTCTCGCCGTAGCGCCGTGCACATTCGTTTTCAAAGTTGTCCAGAGCTTAACGGATGGAGGGCGGATGCGTTTTGAAAATGTTGTTCTCGCCCTAGCGCCGCGCACATCCACTCGAAAAGTTTGCTCGAGGGCGTTTTTTTGTTCAAGATGTGTTTCTTGCCATGGCGCCGCACACATTCGTTGTACGAGCTTACAGCCTTCATGGATTATTGTGAATGGCGTCCCAGAAATGGTGTTCTGGAACGATGTAGGACTGTCTTGGCGCAACAGTCACGTTGATTCGCGGTTTTGACGCCCCAGAAACGGCACTGTCGCGATTCAGGATCGTCAAGACGGCTCAGGATTCAGGACTTCAGACGGTTGTCTTCCGACGGGGCACTTCCCCAAGTGAAAATGAAATATTTGCGTGGGGCCTATCGGGGGGGATCTTGGAGAAACGGTCTGTTGCAGCATCGTTGGTGGGTCTTGGGTTTGCACTGGTCCTCCTCCTCCTTCCCTCCCTCCCTCCCCTCCCTCCCTCTCGGGGGGGGGGGGGCCCGGGGAGGGGGGGGGGCTCTCGGGGGGCGTGAGGAGGGGCTGTCTCGGAGGGCCAGGCCCAGATCTCCGCCCGTGCGTGCTCGAGGTCCAGGCCACGGGTGCGCAAACCCGCCGCACGGGCGCAAGCTTCTGGGGCCCCGCGCGCAGCTGCGCCGAGGCGCCGGCGGAGCCTCCGGCGGGGGGCGCTGCGGCGGCGGGGGCCGCGCCCTCGGCGTCGAGCAGCGGGCTGGGGAAGGTAGGCAAGCAGCTGGACAGGCTCCGGGCGGGGAGAACGGCGCACGAGCACCGGATATTGGCCCAGCCCTTCCCGGCAGGATCGGCACGCACGCCCTCCCCCCCGGGCTATACGCCAGGAGGGCGCCTGCGCCGATGCCGGGCCCAGGATGGGCTCCCTTGCCCGAGGATGTCGTCCCAGATCGTGAAGATGTCCGACAAGATGGACCTGGACAAGATCTCCGGCAGGGTGGACAAGCTGGGGGCAAAAGGGGCCGACAAGATGAAGAGCTGGATGCGCGCGGCGGGGGCGGGCTCGGTCGGCAGGGAGGCCGAGCCGGAGCAGAGCCCCGCCACCGAGTCGTCGTCCTCTGGCAGTGCTGCCAAGCTGCCCGGCTTTGGGCGATCCAAGATCAGCTTTTCGGCCATGAAGAAGGGCACCGCCAAGCTGGCGAAGAACGTGCAGTCCGCCATCGCCACGGACTTCACCGACATGCCCGACAGGCACGCCCCCAGGACCAACAGCGCGGATGGCTTCCAGCTGGACGCCGCGCTCGCGAGCTCTGAGGAGGCCCAGTCCAGCGTCGGTGCAGACCCTGGCGTCCCGCCTGGCGAGGCTGCCCAGCTGCCTGATGGCGCGGGCAGCTTCCAGTTGGACGCTGCGTTGGAGATGCAACCAAGCTCGAACGTCGAAACAGTGGACCTGCTGGGCTGAGCTTGCTCGGAAAAAAAGTAGCAGGTTGTTGTAAGTGTTGTGTGTGTACGTATGTGCGCGCATGCGCGGAAGTGCTCGCCCCCTGTGATGATCTCTTGCTGCGCATGATCGTCATGATCTTGCTTGTGTTGATTGACTGGTGCTTTGAAGTTCCGCCATGGCGTGAATGACACATTCGTGCACGCACACAGAGAGAGAAACGTTGTTCTTGTTTGGAAGATCGGAGATTGGGGCGTGAGACCGAAGTGAAACGTGAGGTGCCCCAACTGGGAAATCGTTTCGTTTCGTGCGTGACGCGTCCGCAGGTGCGGCGATGGGAAGCTGCTAAAGTTCCTGCCCTTTTAGAGGCAAAGTCAGACCAAAATGAGTCGCCCCAGGTCCAGTCCATTGCTCCTGGGGGTCCCGAAGTTGCCCCGATAGACCAGAATACGTAGCACCCCGCAGATGCGGATAAGAGTGAGGGGGCGGTGGGGATGTCGGCAGTCTGCGAGACTTTGGAGAAGCCCGTCGCAGGCGCCAAAGTTTCACAAATTCTATAACGAGCCCGCCGCAGGCGCCGATCTTTCCTTCGAACCAATGTGGATCGGTCGCGGGTGGGTCGCGAGTGGGTCGCGGGTGCGTCGCAGCAGGGTCGCGGATGGGTCGCGGGGTGGGTCGCGGAGTGGGTCGCGGGGTGGGTCGCGGGTGGGTCGCGGGTGGGTCGCGGCGTGGGTCGCGGGGTGGCAACAACAACAACAACAACGCAACAAGCAGAATCTTCACCACGGAATCTCACTTCAGCCACGCACCCAGGGACAATGAATGACCGTTCGGCCCCCTCACTCTGATATTAAACATAGTTGTCCTAATGATTGTCACGATGGCTGTCCTGATGCATAATGGCCCCATGAGAATGGATGGAGGGGGGAAGAGGGGGTCCGGGTGGCCGCCAGGGCGCGATAGCTGCTTGGCTCGAGCCTTTTCTGCACCGCCCTTGTGCCGCACACCCGCGGCCAGGGCTTTCTCTTTCTTCGTTCACGTGATGAAACGGGGTGGCCCGCGCCGCAAGCCCGCCGCCCCACCTGCCGGCATCGGTCGCGGGAGCGGGCGGCGCTCGCGGAGCGCGTCACGGTCCGTCCCAGCAGCCGGCCTGCGCTTGAAGCCCGCCGCTTCTCTTGCCGGCAGCTGCCGCGGGAGTGGGCGGCGCGGGCGGAGCGCTTCGCGGGCACCCGCGGCGGCGGGTGGGCGCACCGGACCCGACGCCTCCCCTGCAGGCATTGGCCGAGGCGTCGTGGCCCGAGCGCCCCACACGCCGCGCCAGCTGCCGACGCCGGCCGGGCGCCCCCCCCTCCGGAGGGAAGCGGCGCGGGCGGCGACGGCGGGAAGCTCCGCGCGTTCGTCACGCCGGAGCCTGTGGACGAGGCGGACCTCGGCGAGGCGCACCCGCACGACATCATCGAGGTCTTCGCGAGAACCAGGCGTCCGCCGCGCACTGGAGGCGCGCGGATGGGCCCCCTCGCGTTCTCGCTCGTCCGCTCTCCGCAGGGAGTCGCGACCGCCCTCCGTCGAGCGCGGAGGTGTGGTTCCGGGAGGGGCGTTCTCTTGGCGCCCAGGCGCCTGGCGAGTTCGAGACGGTCCAGCAGGACTTCGTGAACGCCGGCACCCGCGGCGCCAGGGCTGGGGTGCTCCATTTTTGCCTCGCTGAAGACCCCATGGGGTGCGAGGCGAAGTGGGGCTCGCGACGCGTCTACCACATCGAACGGTGGAGGTCGAGGACCGATTCCAACCCAGATGGCCTCTACTTCGACTTCCCGGAGAACCTCGGCGTCCCCGCCGACGGGATCGACGACCCTCCACCGCCTCGCGCCGCAGGTCCCGCTCAGGGTGGGCCAGCGCGCCGGGAGCGGCAGACGCCCGGCGAGGTGCACCATGGGGGAGCGCCCTTAAGTTCGACGACACGGCGGGCGAGCCCCGTGGTGCACAGGCACCGTGTGCTGGCTCCCGCTTCGGCCTGAACAAGGACGAGCTCCGGAGCCGGCTGGAGCGAGCAAAGGGCCGGATCGCTCGGGAGAAGCGGCCCCGCGACGATCACGACGACGACCGGCGGCCGCGAGCCCCTGAGGAGGCCAAGCGGGCCAGGCCGATTTTGGCGGAGGCGCTCTTCGCGAAGGCGGCGGCCTGGCAGGCGAGCGGGACGGACGTGCCCCAGCCGGAGTCGCACGCGGACGCCGAGCTGATGTCCCTTCTGCGCCGTGAGGCGCGGCTGGACGACGACGACGGCGAGGATTTTCGGAATGCCCTCCCCAGAGCGGCGGACCTTCCAGGGTTCGCTCGCCGCCATCCGGGTGTGTTGCTCGACAGGGCCCTGCAGGAGATGCAGCGGTACCTCACACCTCTGGGGGGGGCAGCCGGGAACGACCCCGAGCCGGGCAAGATCAACCAGTACCTGTTGAGTGTCGTCTTCCAGCGGCACTCCCAGGAGGCCATCGGGCTGCGGACCTGCCGCGAGCTCCGCACCCTCGCGGAGTGCCTGGATGCCCTTCTCGCCGGCAATCTGCCGAGGGTCGGGGACATCCACATCCAACGATTCAAGGCGCTGGAGACCTCGGTCGCGGACGGGGGCTGGACGATAGCCCGCCACCTGGAGCTCCTCCCGCAGGTGGAGGTGGGGCTTTCGACGGACCGGGAGCGGGCGATCGCCACGAGGGCCGAGCTGGACCGGGTGAAGTTGGCCGAGGCCGCCTCCCGGACCCGGAGCCGGGCTGCCGAGCGCTATAGGGATTCGGCGGCGCCGAGGAGGTCCCTCCAGCCCCCGGCGCGCGCCCAGCCCTCCGGAAGGGGGGCTCCAGAGACCATCTCCCGCAGCCTCCCCGCGAGTCTGGCCCGGGTGGCCCTGGGCCTCAGGGGGGCTCGCGGCAGACCACGCGGCGACGTCAACGACGCGCTCGGGGCCGTGGCGCCAGCAGAGGCCGCGGCGGCAGGACAGGAGCCGTTCGCGACGGGGGCCCGGGCACGGCCTCGGCTCCAGCGAGCGGGACGTCGGCGCACCGTGCTGTCCAGGGAGCTCCGGCGCAGCCTCTCGGAGCCTCGGGCTCGCCGAGCGCGGGGGCGACGTCTCAAGGGCTTGTGACTCCTGGGAGCCACGGGCCGGTGGGGCGCGGCCCCCACCGCGCGGAGCACCCCCAGGCAGGCCCTCCGTCCACGCGGCGCTCTTCGACAAGAGCTCCCGTGCCAAGGGCTGCGCTCTCTCCAGGCCCGGGCGCGAGACCCCCCTGGAAGCGGGGGCGGTGGTGAAGGAGCGCGAGGCGCTGTTGCGCCTCGCCGCCGGCGGCCTGAGCGTCGGCAAGATGGGGACACAGCTGCTGGCGGCGCTCGCTGCGCGGCAGTCGCCCGTTGGATCGAGCGTGAGGCGCCACCTCACGGGCCAGCTACGGCGGGGAGGGAAGCGGCAGCGCGATGTCCTTCCCCTCCCCGTCCCAAGGGGCGACCCCGCGGTTCAGGCCGCCCTGCAGCGAGTCCACCGCAGTCACCCTCCTCACGTTTGCCACCAGGGGCGTGCTGAACGTGGGCACCTCGTTGCAGTCGGGTCATGGCTCCTCCTCACCATCGTGGCCCTGAACTGGTTGTACTCCGATTGCGGGCGGCTTGAGGGCCTCGATTTTTACGGCGGGGAGCCGACTGCTGCCCAGCGCACTTCGTTGCAGCACTTGCGAGGGGAGTGCGAGGCCCTGGTCGTGCGCCTGGACGAGGAGACCGGCGAGGCAGTCGTCGCCCCCACCATCGACTTCGGCGCCATGTTGGGGCGAAAGCGCCTCTCCTACAGCGGGGAGGAGGTCTCCATGCCAGAGGCTCTCAATCTGCTGGAGCTGCTGCCCGAGCTACCACCGAAGGGGGAGGCTGCGAGCGTCGACGCGCTGGCACTGGCGTCGCCTGCAGTTGCCGACGCGCTGCTGCATCCGGAGCGCGTGTGCAACCCGAGTGGGTCATGCCCGGCGCAGCGCGCTGCCCGTGTGCACGCGTGCCCGCAGGAGTAGGCCTCGATCGTTCGCGAGCTCCTGGGCAGAGGAGTTTTCGAGGAGATCGACTACGACCGCATTGCCCGGGTTGGGGGCCAGCCTGTCCTCAACGGGGCCTTCGGCGTCGAGAAGAGCGGCGTGCCCATCGCCCCGGCCAAGCGGGTGCTACGGCTCATCATCAACATGGTGCCGTGTGCAGCGCCCCATCGACGGGGACATCGGGTTGCTCCCTGTCGGCGGCGAGCACCACGTCACCATCCTCCAGGACGGCGAGACTCTCTTATGGAGTGGAGACGACATTAAGGGATGCTTCCATGTGTTCAGGCTGCCTCCATGTTGGCGCCCAGGGATGGCACTCTCGGCCCCTGTGGACCCTGCCGCTCTGGGTCAGGCCAGTGGGCCCCCTGTGTGGTTGGCGGTCGCAGTGGTGCCCATGGGGCGGTTGTCCGCCGTCGGCATCGTGCAGCACCTCTCGCGGCAGATCGTGCTTCAAGGTGTCCCTGGGCATGCGTCGCCGTCCGAGTCGACGGAGCTCCGGAGGGATGCCGCCTTCCCGCTCCAGCTCCACCAACTGCCGCGGGGCTGCTGGAAGGTCTACGTCGACAACGTGGACTTTGCGGAGGTGGTTTCGGATGCCGGCGCGCGCCAGCTCAGCGGCCAGGTGTCGGTCGAGCAGCTGGCGGTCCGAGCCTCTCTGGAGGGGCGCGGCATCGGGCGGAACGTGACAAAGGCTGTCGAGCGCTCCACGCACGCGGTCAGCATGGGGTCCGGCATCGACGGGACTCGGGGGCGGGTGGCTCCAGCGCTCCCGAAGCTGGCCCAGCACCTGGCGCTCACAGCCTGGATCTTGACGCGTCGCGACTGCCGGGCCCTATGGGTTGCGGCGGCTGCCGGCCGGTGCTGCTTCGACCTCGGCCACCGCCGCGCCGCCTTCGGCGTTTTTGGCCGCGTCTGGAAGGAGATCGACCGGTGGCAGGGCTCGCATCCGATTTCTGAGAAGGTCGGTGACGAGTTTTACATGGCTTGCTCGATCACCCCGCTGTTGAGCACGAACCTCAGGGCGCGGCTCCACCAGTGGCCTGTTGCCACACACGCCTCCGAGCACGGACGCGGCACCTGCGTGGCCGTAGGGCTCACGAGCGTCGGCTGGGAGGCCGCCGCGGCGGAGGTGGGTCGCCCGGGCTCCATAGTCCCGCAGGGGCTCGTCGTTTTCGAGTTCTTTGGCGGCATCGGCGGCTGGAGGCAGGCGCACGACCGCGTCGGCGCGCAGGTCTTGCTGGGAGTACTCCGCGAGAAGGACCGGGCGGCTCGCGCGGTCTCACGAGCAGCGTGGCCCGGCAGCATCAAGTGGCCGGACATCACGCAGGTGACGCTCGACATGGTCGAGGCTGTCAGGCGCGCGGCACCCGGGGTCATTGGGATCTCGGTGTCGTGGGGACTGCCCTGCCGACGCGCGCCGGCCCGGAGCACATCTTCCAGGGCGGCGCGATGATGTGAGAGATCCCCCGCGTGTCAGCGCGGCTGTCCAAGGTGTTCGGGGATGTGCCGTGGGTCGATGTCGTGGAGAGAACGTCGCCAGCATGACCGCGGACTCGTGCCTCCAGATTTCGGAGGCGCTCGGCCGCCACCCCGTCCTCATCGATGCGGCTGGGATCTCCCGCGTGCGACGCCCCCGCCTTTACTGGTGCAATTTCCCAGTAGGGCGCGGCGCACTGCGGACTTCGGCTCCTGCGCGTGACACGGTGGAGCTGGCTGCGGAGGTGGAGCCGACGGAGTTGTGGCTGCTCGGAGATGCTTGCTGGGACCTGGGCAGCCGGGCTCGCCTCCCAGCTTTCGCCCGGGCCCTCCCTCGAGCAACGCCGCCCCCTGCCCCCGCGGGCCTGCAAGAGTGCACGGCCCACGAGCGGGCTCGGTGGGCGGCGGACGACTTCCGCTTCCCTCCGTGCACTCACAAGGATTCGAACACGGTGGCGACGGCGGACGGAGGCCGCCGTGTCTTGTCCCCAGTGGAGAGAGAGGTCTTGATGGGCTTCTGGCCAGAGCATACTCTACCTGCTCGGGCCGCCTCCGGCCGCGAGGGCGATAACATGCGGTGCTCCCAGGTGGGCAACAGTTTCCACGTTGGCGTGATGGCGTGGCTGCTGGCGCAGGGCCTCTTCGCAGTCGGCCTCGCAGATGCCCGTGTTGCGGCGTCGGAGATTCAGGGCGCCTTCTATGCCGAGCGCCGGGCGCGGCGAGGTGGCCATAGGGCCCTATGCACGTTCCCCCTATTGAGGGGTCGAGCGGCAGCCTCGCCCCCCGGGGCACTGGAGCCGCAGGAGAACGAAGCTGAGGCAGCTCGTGCCATTGTTCATGGGTTGCTCCGTCATGCTGACCATCGAGGGTCTGGCGTCCGGCTTGACATCGGCCTCCCCTTTCGGGCTTCCGTGTGGCCGAGGACGCCCATCGCGACGGAGAGGTGGATCTGGCAGACGGTCCTGTCCCACAGGTGGCGGCGCCTCGGCCGGCACATCAACGAACTAGAGATGCAGGAGGTCTTATCCGCTCTCAAATGGCTTGCGCGTAAGAGCGACCACCATGGCTTGAGGATTGGTATGTTGGTCGACTGCCAAGTGGTCCTCGCCATCTGTGCCAAGGGCCGGTCGTCTTCGCACAGGCTGAACCACCTTGTCAAACGAATTGATGCGCAGCGCTTGGCCTGCGACCTCTACCCCTTCTACGGCTACGTCACTAGCAAGACCAACCCGGCCGACGCCCCCTCGCGAAAGCGCGAGCGCGTGGCGTCTGGCCTTACACCTGGCCCCAGCAGGCGGGCTCCGCCCTCTCGGCCTATTGAGGCCGCCCCCAGTAGGGAGGGGCGCGGAGCCCCGGCCGCGGGCCGGGCAGGTGCCAAGTCGACGAAATGCCGCCTATAAATTGATTCTTGCTAGCCGTAGAAGGGAAAATCGTGCGCGTGCCCGCCGAGCTATGGGTCGCCTTGCCGATTGCGTGGTCTCCGCGCCGACCCTGGCGCGTTATTCAACGCGCGTTGATGCCTTTCTGTCTTGGCAGGGGTCCGAGTGGGAGGCCCCGGAAGATCCTTCATATATGGATCAGACTGTTATGGACTACATCGAGATGCTTTGGTCCGAGGGGGAGCCGAAAAGGGGTGGTGGGCCCCGCGCCTGATTCCTGTGCGCGCCGCACGCCTTCGGCTAACAATACTGTCTGGCCACCGGAAAAAGTGCCTTCTGCCGTACGACATCCATGATTGTCTCGATCGTCGTCCCGAGAGCTGTCCCGACGGTTGTCCCGACTGTTGTCACGATGCTTCGCCCGATGCTTCTCCCGATAGTCGTCCCGATGCTTGTCCCGATGCTTGTCCCGATGCTTGCCCCGATGGCTGTCCCGATGGTTGTCCTGCTGGTTGTCCTGATATTTGTCCCGGCGGTTGTCCCGACGGTCGTCCCGATGGTTGTCCCGATAAATCCCCATGGATGTCCCGATGTTTGTCCCCAGGGCTATCCTGATGGTTGTCCCGATGCGTGTCCCGATGTTTGTCCCGCTGGTTGTCCCAAGAGTTGTCCTGATGGTTGTCCCGATGGTTCTCCCGATGGCCATCCTGATGGTTGTCCCGACGGTTGTCCAGATCGCTGTCCCGATGGTTGTCTCTATACTTGTCCCGACAGTTGTCCCGATGATTGTCCCGATGGTTGTCCCGATGTCGTTTTTGTGCGTGTTCGTGTCCACTCGCGAGTTGGATCGGGAGTCCAATGCAAGTCACAACTGATTTCAGCCTCCCCCCCAGCGTCCTTGTCACCCGAAGGGTGGTCTATGATTCTGTGAGGTGTCTGTGACGCGGGCGTGCTCGTTCGACACATTTCTAGGAGAAGTCCTTCGCATTGCGCACTGGGGCACCTGAGCCACGAGCGGGCCAACGTGCCAGCCGGCTACGAAGGCCTGTTGTCGTCACTCATTGCCAGACATGTCTGCAAGCGTGCACGTTTACATGAAACCCCCCGACGGCGCGCCATCTCTTTCCCTCCTCCTGCTCCTCCTCTGGGTCCTACTCCTCGTCCTCATCCTCCTCCCACTCCTGCTCCTCCTCCTCCTCCTCCTCCTCCTTCTCCTCCTCCTCCTCCTCCTCCTCCTCCTCCTCCGCCTCCTCCTCCTCCTCCTCCTCCTCCTCCTCCTCTGCTCCTCCTCCTCCTCCTCCTCTCTCCTCCCTCCTCCCTCCCTCTCCTCCTCCTCCTCCTTTCCTCCTCCTACTCCTCCTCCTCCTCCTCCTCCCTCCCTCCTCCTCCTCCTCCTCCTCCTCCTCCTCCTCCTCCTCCTCCTCTTCCTCCTCCTCCTCCTCCTCCTCTCCTCTCCTCCCTCCTCCTCCTCCTCCTCCTCCTCCTCTTTCCTCCTCCTCCTCCTCTCCTCCTCCTCTCCTTCCTCTCCTCCTCCTCCCTCCTCCTCCTCCTCCTCCTCCTCATCCTCCTCCTCCTCCTCCTCCTCCTCCTCCTCCTCCTCCTCCTCCCCTCCTCCTCCTCCTCCTCCTCCTCATGCCGATCCACCACTCGTCCTCCCCCACGTCCGCTTTCCTCTCCTCACTCCCCAAGATTCCCTCCCTCCTATCCTTCGCCCTCCACCCAGCGCCTTTCAGGAGCACCCGGAGGCCCTGGAAGGGCCAGGGACCGCCCGAATGTTCGAAGACTTCCGAAAACCACCGCAGGGAAGGGGCCAAATTTCCAAGGCCACTAGGGATGGCGCGAACGACCAAACTATGCAAAGCCTCAAGGACCAAGGTGCACGGCCCGAAGCGCCAATGCGGTTTGTGCGTGTGTGTCTATATCTCTGTGTGTATATATAATATATATATATATATATATATATATACACATATATACATATATATATATATATAATATATATAATATATATATATATATATATATATCCCTGGGGGGCAGGCCCGGGGCCCACAAACATCTGCCCCGACCCCCCATGGGAGGACGGGGCGGCAGGTCCAAAATAGTTTAGGAGGGCCGCAAGAGGCTCCCAAGACGGCCCAAGCGGGCCCCGAGTCGCCGAAAGACCGCTCCAGAACGCCCAAGATAGGACCAAGACAGCCCGAGAGGCCCCCCAAGGCACTCCACGACGCTTCAAGACGCCTCTCCAGAGTGCTTCAAGAGGCCGAAATCGTCAATTTTACTGAGGTTTTGGAACGATTTCGGCATTCCAGCATTCTCGGCTGTCCGACGTTCCAAGACGACTCAATAGGCCCCCAAGAGCGCCCTAAGACGGCCCAAGAGGGCTCCAAGACGGCCCCAGAGGCGCCCAAGACATCCCAAGAGAGCCCCAAGACGGCCCCAAGATGCGCCCAAGAGGGGGACCACGACTCCAAAATTCGACCCTCCCGCTTGAACAGTGCCCCAGGAGGCCCCAAGGAGCTCCCAAGAGGCCCCAGGAGGCCCCCAAGAGGCACCCAGGAGGCCCAAACGAGGCCTCAAGAGGCCACAAAACAGCCCCGAGGAGGCCCCACAACGGTCCCAAAACGGCTACCGAGAAGCTGCGGAACTGCCTTCACGACGTCCCCGACAGGCCAACCACGAGACCCAAAGACGGCCCAATAGGCCCCCAAGAGCGCCCCAAGACGGCCCAAGAGGACCCCCAGACGGCCCCAGAGGCGCCCGAGAGAGCGCCAAGACGGCCCCAAGATGCGCCCAAGAGGGGGACCACGACTCCAAAATTCGACCCTCCCGCTTGAAGAGTGCCCCAGGAGGCCCCAAGGACCCCCCCAGGGGCCCCAGGAGGCCCCCGGGAGGCACCCAGGAGACCCAAACAAGGCCTCAAGAGGCCACAAAACAGCCCCGAGGAGGTCCCACAACGGTCTCAAAATGGCTACCGAGAAGCTGCGAAACTGCCTTCACGACGTCCCCGACAGGCCAACCACGAGATCCAAACCAACACCCATGAGGCCTCTGCCCCACCCCCTAGGGCACCCGCCGCCCGCCCGCCGTCCGCGTAGCACGCACCACTCTGTACTCAACAGCTTCAGTCTCCAAGATAACACCCTGTAGTCAACAGCTCCCGTCTTCAAGGCAACACCCTGTACTCAACAAGCTCCCGCTGCAAGAGAGCACCCTTAAGGAATTCATTCAAATCCCGACCCGCCCGCCCGCCCGCCACCCGCCCGCCCGCCCGCAGCCCGCCCGGCCGCTCGCCCGCCTTCCGCGTAGCACGCGCCACCCTGTACTCAACAGCCTCCGCCTCCAAGACAACACCTAGCATTCAACAGCCCCCAGGGCTCCCGGGACTGCCCGGGCCCGCTCCCAAACACGCCACGACACGCCAAGAGGGCCCTAAAGATTGCCAAGACAGCCCCAAGAGGCCCCGGACACGCCGAAGATGGCCTCAGGACGGCCGACGACGCCGCCAAAACGCCCCAAGAGCGTTTCCAGAGGCCCCTCCAAATGGCCCCGCATTTTTGCGCTCTCGCATGTTCCGCCTCCCCACGGTCCTGGACGGCGTCAGAGGCCCTTCAGATCGCTCCAAGACGGCCGAAGAGGCTCCCAAGGAAAGACCAGAGACGGCCCAGGAGGCTCCCCAGATAATTCAAGAGGGCCCGAAGAGCGCGACATTTCAAGGTCCCCGGCCTGAGAGGCTCCTAGGACGCCCCCGGAGGCCATCAAGAGGCTCCCAAGAAGCCCCGTGAGCCTCCCAAGAGGCCCCGGAAGCTTCAATAGGCCCCCGAGGGCCCCCCAGGGAAGCCCCCTGCGGGCCCCCAAGAGGCCTCGGTAAATCGTATTTCCCAGAGCTTTCCGGGAACATGATTCCTTGGGCTTCCGCCCACCGCCCCAACAATGTGTCCAATAGGCTTGCCGACAAGGCCAAAAAGGGCCCTTCGGTAAGCCCTCAGAGCCCCCCTCGTAAGAGAGCCGAAAAGTTTGTGCTCCCGGAAAGCTTCCCGATTCTCGGGTTGCCGCCCTCTCCCCAAACCATGTTATAAACGCCTGCCGGGAGGAAAGAAAAAAAAGTCCCAAGCAGCGCTACCTGCCGCAACGCTCGGAAACGCGTCAGGCCCCGAAGCCTCCGGAGGCGTCCAACGACACCCCGACAAATCATGTTCCCAGGAAGTCTTACGGCCAGTGCCGCCGACGTTGAAGGAGGACGGTCCAGGACACCCAGAAATCTTCCAAACAGGCTTCCAAGAGGGCGCCGAGACAGCCCAGGGCCGCCCCCAGACGGCCCAAGAAAGCCCCAACATAGACGAAAAGAGCCGAGGCCCCGAAACGAAGACATATCGTTCGAACACGCCCAAGATGGCCTCCGGACGACCCACAAGGCTTCCAACACGGCCCACAGGGACGCCAAAATCGTTGATTGTCCTTAGGTTTTTGATGGATTTCAGACACCCAATGTCGCCCCAACAGGCCCCCACGAGGGCGCCGAGACGGCCCAGGGACGCCCTGCCGCGGGCACGAGGCGGGGCCTGGGACAGGGTCCTCGCACCGGGGGGCCCTGGGGCCCTGCCGTGGCGCTGGGGGCCTTGTAAAGTCGCCCGAAGACGGCCCTGGCGTTTCCAGACAACGAAACGACCAATGACCGCCCGAGATCACCCCAGAATTGGTACCTGACTGTCCAAGGCGCCTCCAAGACGCCCCAAGAGGTCTCCAAGATGGCTCCCAAGGAGCCCCAGGAGGCAAAACTAATGTGTTTTCCTTGTTGGTTTTGGATCGATTTTCAAGTTCTCGCCTTTTGAGCTTCCTGACGCTCCACGACGGCCCAAGAGGCTTCAATTTCCGCTCCGAGGCATCCCCAGAGGCCTCGAAGACGGTCACAAGACAGCCCATGGGGGCTCAGGAGGCACGACTATGTCACGCGCCTGTGCTTGATAGCGCTGTCCAAGATTTTCTAGCGCGCCCCCGGCCTGGGCTAGAACCTGAGCGCGCGCGAAGCGCGCGCGATTGTTCTAGTACATATATTTTTATATATATATATATACTATATATATATATATAATACATTATATAGATATAATATATTATGTATTATATATACATATATAGATAGATAGAGTGATATACACATCATACATTACATACAGTACAAACATACATACATACATACATAATGCATACATAAATACACATACATAACATACATACATTACATACATACGTAAATTCGTCACTACGTACATTACGTACATACGTACATTACATAATAAATATACATACATACATACATACATA